ATGAGATCTTATCATTAAACCTTCGGAGGTGCCGCTCCGTACGGTTTTCCTCCAAAGAAATCGGGAAATCAAATACGATCCTCTCGCCTACCAAGGATTCCTTCACCTGTGGCATAAGATTGGCCTAGTCTCTCCTGGTTGAACTCAGATAAGTTCATGGCCGCAGTTCGTGGCTACTGGGATTGCAATTTCATCCGAGCTTTTTACCTCCAACAAGGTACTTTTCCTCTGCAAGAAAAAAATGTATAATGATAGCAACAGTCTCAGCTGAAATGAAATAAGAATGCTCGGTTCGACGGAAATACAGAGAACAATCAATTGTCACTGTCGCATTGAATGAGTCTCAAAGTTCACAATCAAACGATCGTGATCAGTTTTCAGTTATCACTGCGTGGGGCCAAACAAGGCAGGCCGATATCTGACATAAGACGTTTATAGACGCTGCAAAAACCAGGGTAGCGATATATCGACCAATTCACTATCGGGCACATGCACCGAGACGGGTAGAGTGCGATTCGGTCATTCTTACTTGGGAGCCTGGCTTCAAGACCAAAAAACCCGACATTCGCATAGAGCCTTTGAAAAGAAACACTCGGAAGGACTCCACCGTCGCGTTCGCACTTTTCCAAAGATTTTGCGACCACCTCCCTCCCCTCAAGGGGTCTCGATGCGACCCCCCCCCCACCTCACCACTACCAGCAACGGCCTTAGGAGACTCCCCCGATACGACACCCATCTTCCCTACTCCCGACCACAAACCTCACCATCATGACTGTTTCTATCGCATTCGATTCTGAGACCAGTTGACACAGTCCAAACCCCGCCCAATTTTTCCTACAAAACAGCCGTCGAGTGGGGGTCAAGAAAGGGCAAATCCACTAATTCTGACAACTTCGTTTATTTACCGTACTTTCATGGAAGTTTTGACAAACATCTCGAAAAAAGTCATAAAATGCAACCCCTTTTTTTAAAACCCCTGTTCACTTTTCCCAGAGGTAGTTAAACTTACTCAACCCCAAAATGTGACTCCCTCGTTCCAATACTGCGAGCGAACGGTTGGCCCTGTTGAAGAATTGTGAAGGGCATATGCCACGATAGAATAAATGTGAGTTTCTGCCTCAAAAAATGTATTTGTGGTACTTGGTGCCATAAAAGGATGAGGATAAACGTTTGGCATTGATCAACCCTGTTTTCGAATGCGCCACGCACTCCGCTTCCACTCACAATCGTAGTGCCAATTAGAATACGATATCCGACGCAATGACTTGCGGGGCCAGCCGATGTACAAGTCAGTGTTTTATCCTCCCAGACAAGTCTGGTACCAATTAACCGACCCCGGAGGGATGGAAGGCTTGGTTGGCCCGGGCGACTCACGACCCAGGATTTGATCCCCGGACCGCTCGCGTGGTAAGCGTGCCACTTGCCACTACACCACTTCCGCCACTTCGTACCATCAGTATCGCCATACAGTTATAAAGAAGAACAAAAAACCACCTGGAACCCATGAACTCACATTTGTATCTGATTCTATGTTTAAGGTTTGCAGTCCACCCCTGCTTGGGTCTCATTGGCTAGCCGCTTGCCTTTAATACGGTAAATTACGGTAATGAAAGTGGGCCAACAAATGGACCCCCATAGGGGCGGGACACAGACCTCGTCTCGAGAGCGCCAATCCGCGCCCGGATCCAATAACCCTGAATTTCTGTCGATGTTCAACCTCAACACACTCTCCAAGAATCGCTTCATAATTTTGCTATAAATTCCATTCTTCATAATTTGAAACGTATTAAGGCGCTGTAAGCCACCAATTTTGAGCGAAACTAACTTCCGCAAGAATATCGTATGTACCACATTTCCCAATAGAATAGCTCTCTACTGTTTAAGGCAACGTCCAGGTAGATCTTTTGAGATTTAGATATTTCGCTGGAAGAAATTTATTTGCACCGTTTCGGAGATTGGGCCACTCACTAGGCCCCTCGACGACCCGAAGATTTAGCCACCCTACCGGAATTACAAGGAGCACACCTACTAATTTGCTCTGCCTTATGAGCGATACTTCTTATCTATAGCCATGCATTCATGCTATTGGAACCGCCAAATCGCCAAAAAAACGCGACCCGTGTACGCTCTACCGTACTACGCAGAATGTGTGCAATTCCTCGTAAGATCGATAGCAAGTAGATCCACACGTATTTATGCAGAAACTCTTTAAAATCTGGGCAATTTTTGTGGTTTCTTCATTTTAGCTTGTGTTGGGGTCCATTGTATCGCTTCTCAACAAGTTAAAGAAGACACACAATGACTATGACTTGTCTTAAATTTTTTCATTTCAGAATGCTTTTAAATTCGTTGCCATCCAGAGGATTCACCCGTTAGAATTATTCAATCAGTCTGCTAGACTTTTTATCTGCTACCCGGTCTCATCAATGTAAAGCTTCAACGTCAAAGCAAAGCGCTGTCATGGGGACCAGGTCAGATTTGAAGGTAGTTGTTGCTCTTTTCATTTTCTTCACAGTGATATTTCTTGGTCTCCTTTTTCTTTGTTGAGATTTCTTGTTGAATTGAATAGATATGTAGAGAACTCATTGCATTCTTATTCAGTGAGTCAACTTCGGTATTGAAAAATGTATCAAAGTACTTCAGTAATTTAAGCGTCAAGGTAGAGCATCAAGAAGAGCAACTTACCACCGCACATCGAGACAAACCTCGGGTCCTATTCGTCAACTGGTAACACCTTATGGGGTTTTGGAATGGGATTATAAGAAACAAAATACTGACCATCAGCCTCTTCATCATTACATACATATATGTGAAGGCTAAATCGTGTTCCATCCATTCTAACTCTAAGTGGGTTTAGGATATCCGGCGCATCCCAAAAAGGAACCGATCAACCCAGTGCTGGCATCTGAATCTTACTCTGCAGTTCGAATGCGGAAGAGATATTTACATAAAAATATACGATCGTGAATTCCATGCGATCACATGATCGAGTATCTGTTCCTTATTCGGACTGCGAAGTATGATTCGATCATTGTTGTTTGTGCATCTATTTCTTTTGAATATTTTGCTAACGTTCCTTTCAAAAATTGAAGGCGTGGCTGAAAAAGATACCCTTACTAAACGGTTACGCTTATTCGATTTTGTTGGGCATGCCGTTTCGTATCTAGTTCGAAGGTGTTCAAAACAGATGAGCCCAGCAGAATACGTAGTCGGGTGTTGTAGTCTTAATGTACCGCCGGGCGAATGAGCCCCTGTTTATGTCTTATATTTATAGCGTTCACAGGCCAGTGGATAAGATGGCTAGTGTTTCGCAGCTTAAAAGATAGGCATAGTCATGGTAGGCTGCAGTCATACTCAGTGACTGTCTTGCACTCGTTGGCAGTTCGAACATGGAGTAGGTACGTATTGATCATGCCATCGCACGATCACAAGTCGTATGTTTGATACGAATCTTCTTTGTGAAATATCGCAGGATCGCTAACCATAAAGGGGGAATTATCAAACTCGGCCGCAGGCGCGGAGCAGAATTAATTTCGTTCGCTTGGCGGAAATTTCAAGGACTTGCATTTAATGAATAACTTATATTCCGATGTTCTGTCTCAGCAAGCATCGGCTTGAAGTTCTTTTATTGAGAGTCCATCATTTAGGTCTCTGATGTCGAGTCGAAGGTAGGGGAGAAGAAAAAGCGGCGACTTTTTGGTCCTAGAGACGTTCCGATAAACATCAACTTCCCAAATGAGAAAGGTATACCAGATGATCTATATGATCCGGACATTCCAGTTGAAGAAATTTTAAAGGACGCTCCACGATTACTGAAAAAGCAGGCTGAGGTAGTTCATTCTGAGCTATTGTTTAGTTTGCATACACTTTTTTCTATGCATGATATGATGTACTCAAAGTTCTTTCTTCGACCAATCCTCTGTCTACTTCGAAGAATAGTGGAATTATAGCTGCTCAAAGAAGAGCTGTCTTCGACTGAAATTACATTCGAAAAGAAGGAACTAGTCGAAGACATGGTTGGTGTGCGGCACAATGAAGCACGAGTCGAGTGGAGATTTGACACCCCAGAAGTTAGTTCAGTGGTGTTATATTCTTCCCGAGCACAATATGCCAGATTTCCTTCAAATTTAGGCATTGTCGAAGTGGAATACGGGATGCGATTCTGATTGGAAGGAAGGATACTCAACAGTTCAGTTCGTCCCTACTGACAACAATACCGCACTTTTCAAGTACACAGTTTCCATTTATGTAAAAATGGGTGTTTAAAAGGTCTAGTTGTAAATCATGCACCGTTTTTATTCAGAGGCCAAGATTTTGTAACAGAATGTGAAAGAGACGCGAGTAGATGCGAGCTGGCTTGTGCAAGCATGTAAGTTGGAAGATCGGACATGTGCAATACGCAGAAAAAATTTCTTTGGAAGTGGAGAAACTTTAGTCATCTCTTATAAAGGTGAGTTCGACTCCATTATATGATCGCATTGGGACTATATAAACGCAACAGTGGCAGTCCAACACTAGGCGTAAGACACTAGCGAGAAAGCTTTTTGGTCCGTAGTGATTCTTTTACTTTGATTCCAATTCACACCGTTGTGTCAAGTAAATTAGCGCTGAAAATGCCATCGTGCTCACTTAAATTTTAGACCAAAAATATTGCTCTGTCAGTTCCTGATAGGCCTTACAACTCACATATTCTCGTTCCATAGCAAATATTTTTCATTGAAGTAGTTGCCATTGGACTGAATACCAATTTCAGTGCCGAGGTGATGGACGAAGTTACAAGATTATGCTTATGCTGCACGCACCTCAAACAATCGATATGACCTGGGGAGACTCGTTACTCTTATCCTCTACATACTCGTGGTGGTCCCTACTGGCAGTATGAAAAAATTCCGTTCTCAAAATTCTTTCTTACTGTGGCGGGACGGATTTAAGACAAACAAAATAGGGTTTTCCTAGAAGAAGTCAGGTAAGAGATCTTGTCCATCCTAGTTTTGAATTCATTCCTCTCGCCGAGCATGCACAGTTGGTCGTCCAGTTCTAAAGTTCGTAGCGTTCGCACAGCATTGGATGCGTATCGATCGTCAGACTTGCCTGACTATGAGTGTTCGACGATGTATCTAATGATGTGCGACCGTTACGATCGGACGGCCGACTGTGCATGCGCCCTATAGAGCACAAGTGATCGATCATTAAGACGCACCTATTATTGCTGTGGAGTGTCTTTGAGCTCGTATGAAAATAGATGTGGTAGTTGGTTGAGTAAGATGCTGGGGATAGAAAAGAAAAAGCTAGGAACTTTCAAGAGCACGTTGCGCAATGATCGTTCGAATGGAGAAGAAAGTCTTCCTTATTGCTCCTCCGCTTTTTTTCCAATTCTCAACTGGCGGGGCTCCCTCATCCCGTATGTTAAGTGCGCTACGCGAATATAAGGATCATTAGCGTTTTCGCTTGCTTTTTTTCAGATGTTATTATACTTGCCAAGCAACTACCACACCTGCTTCCAATTTTGAGCTCTAACTCACACCAAAACATTTGTAGAATGTGTTTTTTAATAATTCTTAAAATGTGCAGGAACCAAAGGCCGACGTCATGCTTTGTCGTTAGCGTCCGCGGTAGCGTTGCGGTACCAGCCAAACGAGCGATTCGCTGGCCGCGACGCAACCGCAAACGCCAGCGAATGGCTCGATCCGCACGTCTGGCATCTACCTAAACAACGAAATGAGATTACAGCTCTCTTGGAATCGTGTTGATGGATCGCATAGACGGCGAATTTCAATTGGAATTGGACTATATCGGCGTTTACAACGACCAAACGCACTTTGAAAAATTTGCTTACGAAACTTATACGTTACCTATATGGAACACACACGGGTTCTAGATGTATGATATTTATGTAGATAGATAAATTTGAATAACCTTGTCCATTTATGAGTAACCTCATCAGAAGGCACAGAAGCATCTTTCATCATGCTTCAAAGAAGTTGCGTTTTGAGGTTGAAAATCCTTAATAGAAAAAAACGCTGTTGAAGCAGAACGACTGGGTTGAATATCCCGTTCTCTCCGTACTCTTAAATGTATTTAATAGTTGCAGCAGTTTCTTCCGAGCTAATGGGCCATGCTCGGCGCCGCCTTAGGCCGATGTCAGCCTTTGCGAATCCAGCGACGAGCATTGTACCAGCGAATCGAGCTGTGTACCAGCGGATCGAACTATGTGCCAGCGGATCGAACGATGTACCAGCGACTCGACACTGTTTGAAAGTGGCGGGACTTCCTTTAAACGTTGGGTCCCGCCACTTTCAAACAGTGTTGAGTCGCTGGTACATCGTTCGATCCGCTGGTACACAGCTCGATTCGCTGGTGCAACGCTCGTATCCAGCTTCGCTAGCGAATCGCTGGATTCGCAAAGTCTGGCATCGGCCCTGAACAAAAGCCACACTTTGCGATCAACTGCAACTGCTAGCGCGCGATTTGCTAGCGACTGGCCGCAGATTGATCCCTTGCCTTGAGTGTGTCTCGTTCGAAGTCAATGCTGTCATTCCGTCATGTTTGAAACTGCGAACAAAAGAAACTGCATTTTACCATTTTACTCGCACGAACGATTGAGATTTATTTCATTGCATTAGAATACACAATTAATACCTATACAGTGACGAAGCAGACTTCGTGCCACTTGAACATATGTGATGAAATCAATCGATTAAGGAGGTATTTACTGTCAGTAGACAAGACGATATTAATACGAGTACCTATGATAGAAATCCCAGTCCACATTCGACGACTCTTTATTTATAACATCGATTTATCTCCTACAACATTACGTCCTTCTTCTTCGACAACATTGGAATGTATGGCTCCAAATCGATCTAAAATGTGCGTACTTTATTTAACAACAACAAATAAAGGCTTGTATATTTTCGCAAAAAGAATCCTGGTAAGAATCCGTCGCAGAGCAAAAACCGTGCAGATAGTCCGCGTTTGACGTCCTTTGATCTTTCCAGATTCTCCGGACTGATAATGATAATGTAAAACTAAATAAGTACCCTGTCGCCGTCTATAACATGTGGCCGTTGTTGCATTGCCTTCGTAGCACTTTCAGGATGTTCGAATGTAACAGAGGCAAAACCGCGATGCAAACCCGTTTCCGCGTCCTGAATATTCACATTTTTTCGTTTTTAAGAATATCAAAGTCAGTATAATGATGCAGTTTTAGATCAACCGAAAACAAGAAAGTAATAGGAATGGTTTGCATTACTCACAAAGAACATATTCACACTGCGCACATGTCCATATCGACTAAAGTAATCCTGTAGTTGATCTGAAAACAAAACGCTAGCGGCGGCAATTATACAGTCGTTATCTTCCAAATGAAGCCTTATAAATGGAAAGATTGAACTTTCTTACTCTTGCTCTTTTGAGTATGTTTTTGAACTTGACCCCTCCTAAACAAGACCGCCATAGAGCAAACACCCATAACCAACTTTCCCAAATCCGCACAAGACAGATAACAAAGGCCGCGGATTCACTGCTACCGTAACCTGCGTTAGCATTGGTGCGCGCTGTAGCAAGCATTGGCGCGCCCTTTAAGCGACACAAGCATCAGCGCGGGAGCAGTGGTCAACCAATAAGTGACGTGTGAGTGTGAGAGTGAGGTGCCTTAAGCCTTATGAAGAGGTAGACGCATAAGATGCTGTAGTGGTGTGCATATGCGAGTAACCCCACAGAACACCATAAAAACCTGAATCACCGGGCGGTGATTACGAGTACTCGTTTTGCGCTGGCGCCATTTGTCGCCATTTGTGGCCACCTTGTCACGACGGCTGTTTTCACTAAATTCGGCGTAAACCTACATTCGCTTTTAGAACTGGCGCTGACTAACGCATACTTTCTGCTGTCCTGGACTCTCACTTAGGTCTAGTGGCCAAGGTAAGCTTGTTGGGAAGGGGAACACACCGCGTTGGGTGAATTGCGCATCGTGTAGTAAGAGATGAAAGGTGTGAGATCACAAGTGAGTGGCTCACGCTCACCTTGCTCACCTCTGAGCCTCCTCTCGCCAAATGCTTAAGTCCTGATAGCGATCAAACCAGGACTGCCTACTCTGCTCTATTTTGTGCTCCTTTGTCTACTCTTTATTCCACCGCTTTGTGACTTTCCCAATCTTTTGGCTCTTCGTGCTAATCCTTGCGTCGCCTAAAAAGCGCGCCAATGCTTGCTGCAGCGCGCACCAATGCTAACACGGATTACGGTAACAGTGAATCCGCGGCCTTTGTTATCTCCGTAATAACTTTTTGGCGCGATCGCGGTGCCAATGTGGTCAAAAGCAAGCGACACATCGATCGCGATCGCCGTCGCTTTGTTCGCGCATCCGATCAGTGGCCGATGTCAGAGTCTGCGATTGGAGCGATCGGTCAAATGCCAATCGCGCGCATCGCGCGATTGACATGATCCCCAGGGTCAAGCGTGCGTTGAGGAATCCTCGACACGTCGCAGGGGGGGGGTCGTATTGGCCCGCTGGGTGGAAGAGATCGAGCCATTTTGATGCAGTGGGATCATCACCGTCGGAAGACAAATATCAAGGATGAGTCGATGCCAGGCCAGAGGATTTCCAATGAAAATGATATTTCACCCACACAAAATTTTCGTGATTCTGAGGCGTCCGGTAATTCTTAGTTACTTCAGTGTTTTATCACCACACAAGTTAAAGAATCTGAATTTCGCACGCTTTCCAAGAGATATTTCATCTTTCAAGTAAGACCCCGAATCTGAAGGGATGTGAGGTACACGGCGCATCCGAGAAAGGGTCTAGTTGTTGCGCGCGCTTCAACTACGGCTCCTTGGACAAACAACCTCAATTCAGGAACAATCGAGAGAATTCTGAAAGTGTCCGTGCGCATTTACAGGGAGGTGTACACCATTCAACACTTGCGTTAACGGACTCTTCAGGGTTAAATTTATAAACATGTAACCTTTAAAGTTGAGAAACGCTGAATCAATCACTTTTTCTTAGAAAGAGAAAGCAGTGATTTCCAAATCTGCTCTTACTTTAGTACATAATCGCCCTTAAAAGGATATACAGCCGTTGAAATAGTGCCAATGTAGCGAAAAAGTACCTTTCGGCGGTACTCGTGCGAAAATCCTCAACGTAGCCGTTTTTTTAATACTGGACGTTTGGAGCAGTTCTAGTAAGCATTTGATAGAGCAAATCTTCTAGTTTATGATGGCGTATTACTTTTCGGATTGGATGAGTTTGAACGGAGTTATGGCTTTAGGAAAAAAAACTCGCACTCATCACAAATTTTCCTCGTTAATTTTGCAAAAATCCTCAACGTGGCCATTTTTTGAATACTGGACGTATGAAGCTGCTTTAGCAACCGTTTGATAGAGAAAATCTTCTAGTTTTGTATGCCATATTAACTTTTCGAATTTGACGAAAATGAAGCAAGTTATTGCTTCGGAAAGTGTAAAAACTCGTGCTCATCTCGAATTTTCCTCGTTAATTGATCTAAATTTGTTATTTCTTATAACTTTTTGTAATTTCAATACTGATTAGAAAAAGCTTTCACAAAACTTCCAAATCTGCTTTCAGATTGAAAATTCGTCATATTTGAAGAAAGTTATAATCATTTGAATATTTGTTCAAATTTCAATAGTAAATAAGCTGCTCCACGGTCAACGCCAAAGTCCAGTCAACACACAGCTGGCGAAGGCGGTTAAAAAGCTTCTTTCAACTGAAGGGCTACGTGCAAATTGAGAACCACAATCTGTGTAGTACTAGAATTTGGTAAGTCTTGTGGAGGAAATAAATAAAGAAGAGATGTTGTCATAGTATGCCATTTTTAGTGGCTAGTTTGTCGTTTTCTGGTCTGTTTCTCGTTTGCTCGTTTGGTAGGACTCATCAATAATGATTATTCTTTGACTTTTTCACTTTTGTACTTCTTAAACGAATTTTTTTGTGGGCGGTGGGGTAGCAGGGCTTTTTTATGAGCAGTTTTGGGGGAGAATTAAACAAGCTTTTCAACCTTTTCATAGTTCGGCTTTTGAAGAGGGTTGTTTCATGGACTTCGGCCTCCGGCGGGTGGGTGGGGGGGGGGGGGGTCGTATTTCCAAATTTTCCTCAACGCCTCGCTTGACCCTGGTCCCATCATGACCAATCGCTCCAATCGCGCGATGGGCGCGATCACTCCCGTTGTGGCAGGGAGCGATCAATGGCCGATGTCAGAGTCTGCGATTGGAGCGATCGGTCAAATGCCAATCGCGCGACCATCGATTTAGCACATGAGTCCCATCATGACCAATCGCTCCAATCGCGCGATGGGCGCGATCACCCCCGTTGTGGCTGGCGCGCCCTCTCGATCGATACGTTCAGTCAACGTATCGATCGAGAGGGGCGCGCCAGCCACAACGGGAGTGATCGCGCCCATCGCGCGATTGGAGCGATTGGTCATGATGGGAGTCATGTCAATCGCGCGATCGGTCGCGCGATTGGCATTTGACCGATCGCTCCAATCGCAGAGTCTGACATCGGCCATAGCTGGCGCCGCCCCCCCCCTCGATCGATACGTTGCCTGCCACAACGGGAGTGATCGCGCCCATCGCGCGATTGGAGCGATTGGTCATGATGGGACTCATGTCAATCGCGCGATCGTCGCGCGATTGACATTTGACCGATCGCTCCAATCGCAGAGTCTGACATCGGCCAATCGCGAGTCTGACGGACCATCCTCTGCGATAGGACTCAAAGCTCAACCGCGCGCACAGCCAACTCAATGCTGGAGTCGAAATATGTTCAGATTCGCTTGAAAGGTAAATGTACAAGAATGATTCACGTAAAAACCAAAGGAAGAGGAGTGCTTTGTGGTATATTCAAAGCTTGTTGTTATAAAAATAGAAGAAAGCCGAAAATGGACTCACGCTTTCCCAGTAACCCACTTTACATGAGTCAGGTAGACAGTTTTTCCTATAGATTGACCATTATTTGAATGAACTATGCTCCGTCGAATATTCTCCCCAAGGCACCGAAGAGAAGATCGCATAGCGGTGCTAATAAAGAATCTGAAGCATTCATCATCAAAGCGAGCAAAAATCAGGGCATCCTTTCTACAACGATCCCAGACTGTCAAAAAATATGTTCTAAATCGTAACAGTGAATAGTATCGGAACTAGTACAAGGCGCAATGTGCACAGGGGTAGGGGGCACTAGTAACATCGCGTCAAGTTTATGGAAATGCTCAAATTCAAAACCAAGCTTTCGAAAAGATGAGAGACCCCCACTCCAATTTTCGATTCTCCCGAGTTCGTCCCTGTTGCCCAGGCTCAGTCCTAGAGGCCTTGGCGCTCATGTCCTAAGGGGGGACATTAAGTGAGTGGACCCTAATACAACTCGGAACCAAGCCTGAGAGAGGGGAAAGGATTCTGGGAGAGGATGCGAGCAAACATTGCTCTATCTGTTGTTTATCCCCGATCCTGGGCTTAATCCTAGTTTCACCTATCAGCGGTTTTTGAATGCTTTGCATGTACCCTAAGAGCATGAGCGCCCTTTTTACAGTGCCCCCGAGCCACACTGCACCCAGTACAATTCAGCAGCATGTTGATCATATTGGTGTTAAAGGTGTTTTGGTGTTAAACAGAATATTAGACGAAGAATAAGGAACAATCTAGCTCGTCAACGAGTGTCAACAGAAGTCTTAAGCAAACTGTAATTACGAAAGATAAGTGAGGCGATTCCTATCTACATTAGCAATTCATACAGTTAGACGTCATTCGCTAAAAGGAGAAAATTGAGCCTGTTGTTCAACTGAACAAAATTTTGAAAATCACATGGACGAAAATTTGATGACGTCACGCACTTCTGCGGCTTAGTCTACACTCGCTAAAATTAGGGCTAATTCTGTCATTTGGAGCGTTGTTGTATAGTTTGCGATTGTGGACAACAATCGAAGCTATGGGTCTCAACGCTCGTGAGTTCACCTACTGAGCTAATTTTGGGGTCAATTCTAGTTAGAGGGAGGGGGGGGGCATCATGATGCAGTTTCTCGGCGCACTAGCGTGAACTCGAAGATTTTGTCGAAAATTACGTTGAGGGTTCTCCTGTAATCTCTAGCGCATTAGTTTTTTTTTTAAGTAGTTAAAATTGCGGGTCCATATAGTTAGGGGGCATCATGATGCAGTTTCTCGGTGAACTCGAACATTCCAGCTTTTCACGCATGTCAAGTGACTGCCCTCACCCCCACCCCCGTAGACTGGCTACACTCCCCTGGCTCGGAGTTACCTAGCTTTCTGAAAAAAAACTGCATCATGATGCCCCCTCCCCTGTGTTATATTTGTCTTTCGAAAATTTCGCCAAGAGTCGGGAGAAATTTCACGGATTAACTCAGCTATTCACTATGCGAACATTGAGGTGATTAGGGTACTGGTAACTTATCGATAACTTATGTTAGTTATCTTTCAGGCTGCCAGATGTTTTGAAGGGACCTGTTGTGTTAGTGCATATTCTGCTTCTTCATTAGAATCCGCTAGAATCTATCATGGTATACCTACCTTCTGTGGTCGTTGCTGTAGCACTGGCTGGAACGTTATTCATGGTTCATGTCAATCTTCACAAGGACAACGCTTGTCATATGACCTACATGTGGCGATACATCAGTTTAGTGGTGAGATAGCAAGGTCCAGATATCACAATAATGCTGAGTTGGGGTCGGTTCATACTTTTGCCGTTCGGTTTGCAATTTGAGTGCGGAGTACCCACGTACCGACCATGCGTTCGTGCGATCCCAAAGTATGATTCGGCCTTTACGAGTCATGTACTCGGCCTCTTATGATGTTCTAATCCAGTGTCGTACTTCCTGGTTCCCTGCTTCGTTCCTTTTTTATTCTGATTCTTCCATCCGAACGAAAATTTGAGCCCAATGCCGTGGTCATACTCCGCAACCACTTTGCAATTTGAACATGCAGTGGATATTTATCGACCGATCGAGCGACCGCATAATCGCTTACATCGCCGAAGTCCGCGAGCTGTTGAACGTCGGCCTGAAATAGCATCCTCATAGTAACATGCAAACGGCCACTTCAAAGGAAAAAACACGACAACTAACAAAATGCAGTACGCAATACTGCTGTTATTCTTATTATTGTCGTACTTCTTCATAAGTCACTTTTGTAACCCATAATTATTTCAGCCTTTTAGCGTTGATGGGAATGATGTTAGGAGTTATGGTTTATATCGTTATATGGAAGGCATGCTAATCGAGAAGTCGATGTCAGTTATGCACTAAAAACTGCATCCTTAGACCAAACATTTATTTGAACAACATTTTGCAGGGCCATTTCATCAAGTGATATTCCAGTGCTTTTCGTTCCAGGCAGTGGTGGATCAGCAAAGCAGGTGCGAGTATTTCTTTAGAAGCTTCTCGTTCATTTTTTAAAGTTATTACGCTTAGTCCAGTACCAAAAGCTTCCTTATAATTTCCAGTAAAGCTGAGTGAAACAAATATATTATTCGCTAAATGGTCTCTTCTTTGATGTTTTTGTTTGTTAACTGCTGTTTTTGGCTGCAGTT